TCGTGAGTTGGAGTTGCCACCAGAAAATGTATGTTTGATATGGTTTGAATATGGTCATGGATTGATATTGGGATCATAATGGATATTGGGAAAATCTATAATATATACTCATCCGAGAAAATGGAAATGTCACAGAATCTTCACTAAAACGGGAATGTCTTTGCAACTCCCATATTCTATCGAATTACTTTAGGATGATTACATATATCTAATATATGTGCCGTGATCAACACATGGTATATATGGCTTATGGTCATCCATCCCATATTGGGAATCCTTTTTGTGGATATATAAATCCCTATTAATGTATTCATGACCATCCCCAAATGTATAAAACAGCCCATGTTGTGACCATGGCACATATAATATCTAATATGATCTACAAAAATCTGCTTCGAACAATAAACAAAATGTAAAATATGAATCCCTGCAGGTAAATTATTGGTTTCATATCACTGCAGGAACTGATCCGTTATTGTAAGCATCCCCCACCTAGCAGGCGGGGGGTTTCCAATGATGGGTGATACAGTGTTAACCCTGAATGAACAAAGGGGGTACCATTTAAGCGTCAAATTCCCAGTATTTTTGGGGAGTTCCCCCCTAGTTAGTAAACCATGGTTTATTAATCCCAGGTTGACGTTATCCTTGTTCATTGCTGTTGACATCCCATTAGTCATGATTCTCCTACGCTACTGTTGCTTAATCGCCTGCGTTGAATAACTATGGAACACCCTGTTCAAAACTCCTCAACGTGTTTTTTGGGTAAGGATATCAAAACGGTCACTTTCAATGCCAATCTTTACGGGGCAAGGCGCCTTGAAGATCCAATCATCCAAGGCGCAGTTGACCACTGCCTGAACTTCCAACCTCAACGCAGCACAGGGCTGATACCGTCTGGTCAAGTAGAAAAGATATGAGAAAAAAATAGCTGCCATCACTAACCCTTGTTGGTTTCAAGACTGTTTCCCTAGAGCATAAGGATAGGGATTTTCCAAGATTTTCCAATCATGTTGAATCGTAAAGCTGGCTTCATGGCGTTTCTAGAACCACCAAAGCCACCACAGCTTAGAACCCAATGACCACGGCTGGCTGGTGAGCTCTTTTCCTGGAGATCTAGGGGCCTCTATTTGGGTTGGCCCATCCAAGAGTCGAGACCCAAACATGTGGCGTTTGGTTCTTTCGCCCTGATCAGCTTGCTTTATGCCGACAGAATGGATCACATTTAAGTATGGGGATGCAACATGACATTCTGCTTCCATTAAGAACAACTTTTAGCGGGACTAGCCATCATATGCAATAGTTGGATGTGCATCCCACTTGGTAGGTTGACAGCACCCATATCTTTTCCTCATTTTTTGGATAGCTTCAGCTAGGGGACTTACCAGGGTCATCAGCCACTGAGGCATGGCACGGGTTGGCTCCCAGCAACACGTCCGAGGCATCTGCCTGGGGGATCCGCAAATCACCATGGCGTTGCGACCAATACGACACTGATCTAAAGACTTGAATATCTTGAATGATGCAAGGGGGTATCCCCATGACTGTGGACACCTTCAAATCACCAACCTCATAGGTTTATAAATTCCTTTGACTATAGATATGTCATGTCTATTTCATCTACAATAGACAATAAACTAAAGTTAATGTGCATGGAATAAATCCCGCACCAGTTGATCCGTCATACACATCCCATTATTTTGCTTTGGTGTCGATCATCCTTTTGGTGGTTTATCGGATTTCTTCCATCCACAATATCTTCCACAGAAAACCAGGATATCTGTCAACATCTCCAAATCAAATCCTGGATTTGGGATGGAAAATTCTTTGAAGATCCCAATAATCCAACTACCCTCTGGTAAACTAACATAACTATGGAAAATCACCATGTTTTTATGGGAAAACTCACTATTTCTATGGCCATTTTCAATAGCTTTTTGTAGGTTTACCAGAGGGTAGTCCAACTACCCACAGATCAACATCCAAGGGTGACCTGTGTCCCCACCAGGACGTCTGGAAACAGTCGCAGCGGGCTGGCGCTCAGAAGCTTTAAGCTGGGCACCTGACCAACCAGCGATGGGAAAATACACGGGAAACCGGGAGAAAACATGGTGGGCAATTTATAGAATTTTATAAGAACCGTTTGGCCCTATAGCCAGTTACAACTGGCCAAGAAGAAAACCCCATTAAAGTGATATGTATATATATATATATATACACGTATAAAACCAGCTAGTTACAGGAGTTATTTCATCCCATGTATAACTGATTAAGGGCTAGAACTGTGGGTTTAACCCTGAAAACCCATCAGACATCATGTATATAAGGGATTTAACCAATCAACATATAATGGACATAGGCTGATATTATACGGAAATAAACCATATCAAATGGAGAGATAACCATCAGTAACAATGAACAACAACGGATATTAATCGGATATAGGGGAATAAAACCAACCATTTATGGTGTATCATGGGTTTTATTGGATATAAATCATGACCAACAACGGACTGATTTAAGCTGGGCATGAGTTCGGGGCTCCGCGTGGAATGAGTTCAAGGAACATATACAGGAAACAATGGTTTTGACATGTTTTGACCCCCTAATTCAAGGGTCTCCTGTAATTGGATGTTCACTTCATCAAATTCTCCACATTGATTAAGCATATTCACATCTGGTTAATAGATGTTAATATGGGGTAGCATCAGTTCATATTCAACCCCGCCATGTCCAGCTGCAAGTATGAGTGAACGACTTTCAGGATCATCCGTGCACCTTGAGATCTAAGCCCTATAGGAATGGTACTCAAACAACCAAATAGGTATTTAAAAAATGGTCTTCGACTTTGCTCTATCTGAAATATGTTTTTTAAAAGGTAAACACACTGGTATTTAACCCTGAAGGTTTGGTTGATGATTCCATCCCACCTACAATCAGTAGAGTCCACCCGCGTGTGTTCACCTGAGTTTAGGGAAAAACTAAGCCTGACTAAGCGGCCACTAACATGGCTGCGGGAACCTATCTCAATTTCATGTTGCGCATATGGCATGGAGATCTCTCTCTATCTCTCTATCTCTCCCTCTCTCTCTCTCTACATATACAGTATATGTATATATATACTTATGCATAGCTATATGAATATATATACAACTATATACTGTATCTAGTCCAGTATATCAGTTCATGTGGAATGGTCTCCAAATTCTATGAATGAAAAGAACATTCCTATTGTCATTGAAGCTCTGACTATATGCCGAACAAATCACCCCATGGTGTGATAAATTATGGTGCTTGAAAACCCAACTACTATGGCATGACTATTGGTTGATGTAGCCAAGAAGCATAGGACCTGGATCTTTGGGGAGTTCCACATCATTCATTCATGGAGGTGAAACCTGAAACTACCAGGGATGGCCCATGTAGAGGAAAGCCCCAAACTTAGCCCCTCTTATCGATGGCATCGGATGGAGGGTCGCTCCAACAAAAATACTGAGTTAACTAGCAAGAAAAAAATAGATGACAATACCAACACTTAAATCATGCAGTATCAATGTTTGATTCTCATTATATCATCAAGACTGCAGAAACAATAGGCTCAGGCACCGCCGTTCGCCCCAACACTGTCCCAACTTACCCCTAGTCCCAACTTAATCCACATGTTCAATGATTTCGCTGATTGAAGATCTTCAATAAGGGATCAAATCCTGCACCCCAGTTAAACTCTCAGACTGATTGAAGATCTTCAATAGGGATCAAATCCCGCACCCCAGTTACACTATTACACTGATTGAAGATCTTCAATAAGAGATCAAAATTCTTCTACGTGGAGGAAAGCGAGATTGCGCAAAAAGGGCAAAAAGCGAATTTTGGAAAATGAGTTTTCGAAGACCCTTTCAGCACTTTCAAATTTCAAAGCCTGTTTCGATCAAGCCCAATCCCAATAACATGTCAAGACATGTTGAGACAGCCACTTTGTACGGGAAATACCACGGGAAATTGGCCCTTCGCCAAGACGTTTTTTACATCACCTTTCGGGCAGACGGAGACTCCTGGCCGTATCAATACTACCATACTAGCTGGGGATTTTGCCATATATAATATTGATATATTTATATAATTTTATATATATAAAAAGATCGCAAAATAGCCAAAAAAACAACAAATTGCCCCCACCGAATCACCGGAAATGCCAACGGCAACACCTCCATAGTGCCATGGCCACCGCTAGCGCCGCTGTTGTCGCCGCGACACACAGGGGACAGCTGACCTCCTAAGGAGGAGTCCCCCAGCTGAAATCCGCAGAAAACATCCTGGTTCCTCCACTGAAATGAATTAACTAATGATAACTAATGTATTTCAATGTATTTCACCAACATTCATATACTGCTTGGGCTCTGTCCGAAAAAACTCACCATTGTTTTGATTGGTTTTGCTGTTCTGGAATGACCGTTAATTTACAAAGAAGTTCAGCAATTTCATTGGTCTTCGAAGCCCACGGTTGCAACAAGAAGCATGTAGCTGCAAGCATGATAGATGACTTTGCTTTCAAGCCCAAACGGCTTTGCAGATCAAACGAGCATCACCGGATATCACTGGGCCAAAACATAAGACCTTAAATGTAGAAAAACAACTTGGACCATCACCCCAGGTAATTGAAACCTTGATGAAATGTCTTGTATCAAGTTGTATCTATTCATCTTTTTGGGGCCCATATAAGTCGATGTAGAAATAGATTGTGGGGATGTGACCAAAGAAAATTAGATGGAAATAAAGCATATGCTGGGTATTACCCAATTATTACCCAATATTATCTAATACCCAATTATATTATCTAATAAAGTTATTACCCAGACCAATATTATCTAATAAAGTACATCAGTTGGGTATTAGATGATATTGGTCTGGGTCAAAGTCCGGCCCGGCCCAGATGAAAGCAAAGCCAGTCCTTCACTAGGCTTTTTAACATGCTTTAACCCATCCCAAGCAGCTACGTTTTTTTTTCTCATCAATGCTGTTTATCCAGCTTCTTCTTCTTCTTCTTCAAGCTGTTTATCCAGCCTTTGTCGCACACTCAGCACTTCATCGTCTTCCTCCACAGTGGTGTTGATGCCACTGAGCAAGTTGACGATCAGCAAATGTTTCGAATTTCCTGGCACTCTCGATCAGGGACCCTAAGACGATCTAAGATAAACCCCGAAGTCAGTATTGATATTTGATATTTTTTGATTATGGGTCGAAATGCAATGCCCACACCACCGAAAAGGGGCTTCTACCCAGATGGATTTGACAGGGCCCCATGGCTTTGCCTCTTGGCGTCATGGTCTTCCCCCCTACAGCCCTACAGTAGGTTTGTTGCAAGTCGATTGGGTATGTATAACCCATCACAGTCTGCGACTGCCATCATTCACAGCAACTCACAGCAGCCAGGCAGTCGAAGATCATCATCCAGGGGAGAAAAACACCCCTCGAAGCCCTCGAAGCTTGATGCTTATAGAGTTCTACATGCTCAATCATTCTCAATCTTTGATGGTCCAGAAAAAAAAAACATTGCCATCTTTTGCTGGTGATGTGAAAAAAAACATTTATAGCAAAACAATGTAAACAACTAAAGGGTTAGACTACCCATCCAAGGTTGGGGATGCTAACCCCCAAACAAACCGTGGCTTGTTGGTTGTGTGTTGAAGTTAAGATGCGCCCAAAAACATGGGCACCTGGGCCCCTGGGCCCCTGGGGTGAACTTTGGGTAGGTGGTAAGTCATCATCCCCATCTCATTCTGGTTGATGGTTGTCTTTACCCATTGTATCCTCCGGTGTCGTCAAACGTGGCAACTGAAAATCCCCTAAATCGAGGTTCAACTATAAATGGTGGGTTTTCCAGCACGCCATGTTTGATTGCCAGAGGGTACCCCCATTATATTCCCATTTAGATGGTGGGTTTTAACATGTCTGGTCATGTCCGGTCCTGGGCTCAAGATCAACTTGTTTCCCAGCGACACAATGGTTCTTCGCACCTTCCTCAAGTCGGTCACCAACCGCAAAAAAGGTGATGTCCTAATTCAGTAGATTTTCCATTAGAGTTATTAGAGAAATATTGGGGATGTGATATCCCGATATCCATGATATCCCCAATTTCGATTTTCAATTGGGATTCAAACATCGAGTCCTGTATACTAAAGTGGAGATTTGAGTGACAAGTCATGGATTGATGAAAAATCGGGGGATTCAATGTTTGCTGACCTTACCTGACCCATTTGTTTGAGCAAATTACTCATGCTATCTAATCATCATTCACAAACTGGAAATAAGATTGCCAAACTTAAATATCCTGAACAAATTAAAAAAAAAACAACTTATTCGTGGTTTCGGTCAATATCTCTCAAGGTATTGCACAATATCAACATAGATCAACATATATGTTCAAGTCCAACGTGCCTGTATCCATCCAGTTGGTTTCGATTTGGGACTTTTACCAATGTCATACGGACTGAAATAGCTCTCACTATATTCCTAGAATTGTTAGAAGTGTCTGGGGGTTTACTGCAAGATGGCACATAGATATTCCCGATGAGATATCATGATATCATACAATTTCCAAACAAAATGAGCAATTACCAACTGTGGTTTTGGCATGTTTTGGCTGTATTATAACTGGTTGGTGGTTTCAACCCCTCTGAAAAATATTATTAGTCAGTTGGGATTGCGACATTCCCAATATATGGAAAAATAGTAAATGTTCCAAACCACCAACCAGATAAATAGTGTAAACCCAGTTCCTGGGATGATCCCCAATCCTGCCCACCAACGCGTTGCGGCGTCAAGGCACTCGATGGGAGTCCTGCTGCCTCTGGAGACTTTCTTCCATGTTTGCCATTTTTGAATTTGATCACCTCGCAGGTGATTCCAACTGGAATATTGAACTGAACAAAAATGTGATTCCAACATGTCAAGATATGTCAAGAACAGGATAGAGTCTGTCAAGTGACCATCTTAACTGTGGAATTACCTTCTTTTAACCAATTTTAGATGAGTGAAAACCCCCAGTCCTTAAATCGGCGAAATCACATGACCGTTAGGGCCGCCAAGTCACTTCCTTTCTGCGGACCTCCGGTGCCAAAAGCATTGGCTTTCCTCCGGTGCGCCATGGCCAATGCGGGAAACGGTGACGAAGGGGTTCAAAGCGATGGACCCACACATGGTTTGTCATTCTTAAAATTGAGGGCTTGTGGCTTGTGACAAAAAAAGGTCCGAACATAGTTTAAATCAAGCCTTTTGGAAGGCAATAAACCATGGGAGCAGTATGAACATTTTCAACATGGAAACCGATCATGGGTTTGTCCAACCTTTCTGGTGGCAAGAAATATGATCATCCCTTTGAAAATCTTCAAAATGAAGCAACTTGCAGTTGGTTTCCGAACAATTAGATACCCCAATCATGGAAAATCCGAACATAAAAATGGATGATTTGGGGCTACCCCTATTGAACACCTCCATTTAATCAGTCCTGTTTTTCCCGTAGGACTTCTTCGCTTTCCCCGGTCGTCTCGTCATTCGCTGCCGCGCCGGCGCGCGCTGCGTAGCCCGCTTGGTGCGGCCCTGCTTGCGGATGCCCTGCCGGGGCATCTGCTGGGGCACTGAGGGCATCGAGGTCTCGTCCTGCGGATGGAGTGAGATACCACATCATATAATCTATGTTTCTAAATATATATATATATATAATGATAAGTTATACAATGATAATATCATAATCATAGATAGCCTATCATAATCATAGATTATATGTTTCTGAATATCATTTCTATTTACATAATTTATACAACATAGATAGCCTATCATATCTTATGATTGGACAATTATGTACAACACCATATATAATTATATATATATAACTATGATCTATGAAAGTGCATGAACCATTGAATCAACTACATGATATCACATTCTGTATCACAACTGGGATATTTCCTTAGGTTTGGGTCAATCCTTTAAGATCCTTTAACCGTCAATCCTAGACACTTGGATCGGCCAGGATTTCTTAGTCAATGTGAACTATCTAAGGTGAATGGGTTAATGATATGAATGATATGTATATAACATTATAATGTAACATTATACTAAATTAATATACCCTCTGGTAAACTAACATAGCTATTGAACATTGCCATTTATAGTTGATTTATGTTGATTTACCCATCAAAAATGGTGGTTTTCCATAGCAAAATGTTAGTTTACCAGATGGTCATACGAACCCAATTTTCAGACCAACCAACCAACTCCTCCCATGAAAAAAATCCAAATTTTCCTCAGGACATGACTGGAATCGATACTTTTTTGAGGACAGTCAAATCGTGGACCGACCAACAGGACAGTCATTTTTGGTGGGAGATGTGCCATCGATCGACCGGATCATGGGCGCCCGGTTTACCGACCCCAAACCACTGGATTTGGGACACTTAAGAACTTAAGTGCTATTCAACATCAATGGTTAATAATGGTTAATAATGGTTAATAATGGTTAATAATGGTTAATAATGGTTAATAATGGTTAATAATGGTGAATAATGGTTAATAATGGTGAATAATGGTGAATGATGGTGAATAATGGTGAATGATGGTGAATAATGGTGAATAATGGTGAATAATGGTGAATAATGGTGAATAATGGTGAATAATGGTGAATAATGGTGAATAATGGTGAATAATGGTGAATAATGGTGAATAATGGTGAATAATGGTGAATAATGGTGAATAATGGGGAATAATGGTGAATAATGGTGAATAATGGTGAATAATGGTGAATAATGGTGAATAATGGTGAATAATGGTGAATAATGGTGAATAATGGTGAATAATGGTGAATAATGGTGAATAATGGTGAATAATGGGTAATAATGGGTAATAATGGGTTAATAATGGGTTAATAATGGGTTAATAATGGGTAATAATGGGGTAATAATGGGGTAATAATGGGGTAATAATGGGGTAATAATGGGGTAATAATGGGGTAATAATGGGGTAATAATGGGGTAATAATGGGTTAATAATGGGTTAATAATGGGTTAATAATGGGTTAATAATGGGTTAATAATGGGTTAATAATGGGTTAATAATGGGTTAATAATGGGTTAATAATGGGTTAATAATGGTTAATAATGGTTAATAATGGTTAATAATGGTTAATAATGGTTAATAATGGTTAATAATGGTTAATAATGGTTAATAATGGTTAATAGTGGCGTGGTTAATCAATAATGGTTAATAATGGTTAATAATGGTTAATAATGGTTAATAATGGTTAATAGTGGCGTGGTTAATCAATAATGGTTAATAATGGTTAATAATGGTTAATAATGGTTAATAATGGTTAATAGTGGCGTGGTTAATCAATAATGGTTAAT